CGACGGCCAGAAGGCGCGCGCAGCCTTGACTGTGGCGGCTGTCAGGGATTTCGGTGTGTACTCTGCCTTGTGCTTGGCAACCGTGATGGTCAGGCGCGCCCTTCGAATTCCACTAATTCCCTCACCTGCTTCCCAGCTTCTCTGAGCCCTGGACTCCCCCCCCGGGCCTCCCAGGGCAGCTCCCCTGGACCGCGGAACATCTGATTTTCGTGAATCGTTCGTTCGTGGTTCGTTCTTGCTCCCCTGGCCACCTCCCCCCGTCCTTCATTGTCTGATTGTTCAAGGGCCAGGGCACGCGGGCCACTTGTCCCCCTCACCTGCAGCATACAAAGGGGGAAACTGCTGTTGCGTGATCCGATCAGTGCCAGCCCTTGGCAGAGCTGCTCCACCGTGCCAGAGCAGCGTCATCAGCGCCCGATGGGGGTTCTCTCTCTCTCTCTCTCTCTCTCTCTCTGGGAAAAAACACACACTATGGGAAGAAAACACACTGTGAGAAAACACACACAGACTGTGTTTTTTTTCCACAGACTGTGTTTTTCCCCCACAGTGTGTTTTTGTTGTTCCACAGTGTGTTCTTTTCCCACAGACTTTTCGCGCAGAAAGAGATTGGATATGAGGTGTGGTCTTCAGTCGCACCCTGTAACCCTTCAGCCGCAGCATCATTCACATGCAACCACCTGGTATGATGAGAACGCGATCAAACATGCAAGGAATATCGACCCCGCCCACTTCGGCAAACACTTATTTAATCGCGTCGCTCATTCCGCCGGCCCATAATGTCGCACCGTGGTCGCCTGTCCGAGTGGTCGTTTGCAGTGTGGAGCTGCGGCGTCGGGAGCTGTGTAGTGTTGGGGGCGTTTTTGGGGCCCTCTTGGGCCGTCCTGAGGCCTCTGGGGCCATCTTGGAGCCGTCTTGGGCCGTCTTGGGGCCCTCTTGGGGGCCTCATGGGCCCTCTTGGGGCGATCTTGGAGGCCTCTTGAGCCGTTTAGGGGCGTCGGGGAACCGAAAAGGTTGAAACGCCCAAATCTGTCCAACACCAAAGGAAAAGCACAGGTTTTTGCCTCTTGGGGCCCTCTTGGGAGTTCTCTTGGAGGCCTCTTGGGGCATCTTGGAGGCTTCTTGGGCCATCTTGGAGACGTCTTGGGCCGTCCGGAGGCCATCTTGGGCGTCGTGGAGCGATCTTCGGGCGTCTCGGACCTCTCTTGGACCGTGTTGGGGGCGTTCTTGGGGCCCTCTTGGGCCGTCTTGGAGGCCTCTGGGGCCGTCTTGGAGCCGTCTTGGGCCGTCTTGGGGCCCTTTTGAGGGCCTCTTGGGCCCTCTTGGGGCGATCTTGGAGGCCTCTTGAGCCGTTTAGGGGCGTCGGGGAACCGAAAAGGTTGAAACGCCGGAATCTGTCCAAAACCTAAGAAAAAGCATTGATGTTTGCGTCTTGGGGCCCTCTTGGGAGTGCTCCTGGAGGTCTCTTGGGGCATCTTGGAGGCTTGTTGGGTCATCTTGGAGACGTCTTGGGCCGTCTGGAGGCCATCTTGGGCGTCGTGGAGCGATCTTCGGGCGTCTCGGACCTCTCTTGGATTGTGTTGGGGGCCTCTTGGGGCCCTCTTGGGGCGATCCTGGAGGATCTGGGGGAGTGTCCCTGGCGTGTCTCGGGCGTGTCCCGGGCGTGTCCCGGGCTCCTCCGGGGGTACTTTTGATCCAGGGACCCCCAGGGGCCGCCCCGCGCGCGCGAACTAGAAATACTGTTTACCAGTTACCGGAGATCTTAGCACGCCTCTGGCCCGTTGGGCCGGCGAATTTCTTCCGCCCCTGCACGCGAGACGCCCGGCCCTCGAATTTTGACATGTGGCGCTTGCCTCAGCGGCGCGAACATTCGTTTTGAACATGTTGCCAGGGCGTCACACATGTGGGGCGTTGACTTTTCAGGATGCGCTTCTCGCTTCTGCGCCGCGCGCATTCGTCTTAAAAGTCTGCCACAGCTTCGCGGATGGAGGGCGGATCCTTTTCCAAAATGTCGCCATCGCCAGGGCGCCGCGCGCACGATTCGTCGAAAAATTCTGCAGCAGCTTCACGGTTGGAGGGCGGGCCCGTTTTCACAGTGTGATTATCGTTCTCGCGTTGTGCGCATTCGTTTTCAACGTTTGCAACCCTTTTTCGAATGGATGGCGGGTCTTTTTTTAGAATGTCGTTTTCGCCTCAGCGTCGCGCGTGTACGTGCTTGAAGCTTGAAAGAGGTGCACGGGTGGAGGTCGGATCATGTTCAGGATAGGGTCTTCGCTTCAGCGTCCCGCACAGTCGCCCCGACATCTGAAGGAGCTTCACGGACGGAGGGCGGGTCTTCGTCAGGATTGTTCAGGAGGGAAAGAAACACACATACACAATAAATCGTCGCCTCCCCTGAAAATATGGGGAAATATGGGAACTGGGGGGAAGACAAAAACCCAGAAAATATGCGGAAATATGGGGGATCTTTTTATTTGTGTGTATTTATTTGTGTGTCCTGGGGCCCCTTCAATTGTGAGGGTGTCATGGTGAGTTGATGTATTGTGGCGCCATGTGCGTTCAGTGTTGCTCGTACGCGCGCGTCAGCTCGCGCGCGCGCTCTCGCGTGCGCCATGCAACTACACTCAAGGACTGGCCATCAGAACTTTGAAATCTAAACTGTGCAGAGCAGCTGTTTCTCGCTCGTGTTATTTCTTCGACATTGCGCTCGACAAAAGAGGCCGAATCTTTAGAACTCCTCATGTGTTGAGAAATCACTTTTCCCCACCGCCTCAAACCTCCCCGCTCCCCTCCCCCCCTCAGCCCCGGGGAACGTCGGAATACGGGCGCTGAGTGTCGCAGTCGGTGCGGGCGGGGACGATAGTCTTGGGATTTGGGGATCTCTCAGAGCCGCCGAGAAAATTCAATAACATGAGTGGTGAGGCTAGGAGAACCGTGATGGTTTGTCCAGGCGGTGAGGCAGAGGCTTCCCAGGAAGGACGCCAACCTCGTCAAGCTTCTGCTGGCAAGTTTTCAGGGTCCGCTGGGATCTTGCTCCAGGAAGCCTCAGGGAGCCCGAATGAGTCAGGCAGGGATCATCAGGAACCCTCATGGAGCCAGCGCGGGCCTTTCAATAGTCTACAGGAATCCGCCAGGAATCCCTCTGGGAACCTTCGGGCACCTCCAGGACAACGCAGGAAACTACAGGGGGGGAGGATGTGGGGGGGAGATCTGTGGCAGGAAGCTGCTGTGTTTTTGTGCGTAGCTCGCGTTATAGGCAGCGTGCCCCTCGCTACGCGACTCCATGCAGCAAAAAGAATCACTGAGGGCAGATGGCCCAAGAGAGCCCAACCCAAAACGGCCCAAGAGAGCCCAAGGCGGTCTGACCCAAGACAACCCCGCACAACATGGCTAAGCTACAGGCTGGGATTGTTTATCCTAGCGCCGCCACATGGTCGAATGCCGCAGGTCAGCAAGAATTATGTGATCGATGGCTGCACGATGTGATACAGTGGCCGAACACACTGCGCTTCCGATGTCCATGCCCACTTCGCCTTTTTATACGGGCCGCACAGACGTGGGGCCATATCGTCTCGAACTGTTTCCGCACACCACGTGTGTAAATGAACCGCATATGCACTCTGTGCACCGTGTGACAGAGCACGATGTGCCTCGGAGCGCCCGGGGCCCCCGGCGACGCCCACCACCACGACGACGACGACGACGAAGCTGGCGACGACGACGACGACGAGGACGACGGCGACGACGACGGCGCCGTGCGCTTTCGCCCGACTGCCGACCACTCCCTGGCTCTCGCCTCATCGCTGGTCTAGTGTCTCGGTCTGGCCGACCGCTCTCCCTTACGCAAGAAGAGGCCCCCCAGGGTGGCGCGTCCCCCTTTGGGAAGGGGACGCCATCCACTTTGGGGGACATACTGTTGTCGCTTTCAAACGAAGCTACGTTTGAAGAGGAACCGCCCTTTTTAGGCTACTTGTGCTTGGGCCGCCTGATCAACCCCAGCTCCTATTGGAAAGGCCATCTGCTTTTGGCTTGACTTGTGCCGAAAGCAGAGGCCGAACCAGGCAAATTGCGAGGACATCTCAAGCGAAACTGGCCCTAAACCATGCCAAACCAGGGCCAAACCAAGCAAAATGTACAACTTGTCAGGCGAAACTGGGCCCAAATCAGGCCAAAACAGTGCCAAACCATGGAAATTGTGAGGACGTCTCAGGCGAAACGGTGCCCGAACCAGGCCAAACCATGGCCAAACCAGGCAAATTGCGAGGACGTCTCACCTGAAACCAGGCAGGCCCGAACCAGGCCAAGTTAGGGCCCAAACTAGGGAAATTGTGAGGATGTCTCAGGCGGGGCGCGCCGCTCAAGGGGCCAAACGACACCAAACCAGGCCAAACCGAGACCCAAACCAGGCAAATGTTCAGCACGTCCCAGGCACAATCGCCCAAACCAGGCTCCATCCACCCTCCATAATAACATTCCGAGCTTGTAGAACGGCTTGAACCTGACTCGGACTGACCTTCAGGACGCCTGGGGGATCCTTGCGAATCCTCCGGAAACCCGGAGGATACCTGGAGGATTCCGGAGAGGAGACATTTTTTTGTAGAAAACTCGTGTGACTATTTCCAAAATCCAGCAGAACCCTTCAGGAATCCCGCGGGAATCGCAGGGTCCCTCCCAGAATCGGCAGGTCTCTTTTTTCATCCGTCTGGGAACCAAAACGTTTCATCAACCATCAGGAATCCGCTTGAACCCACGAGAACCCGATGCACCCAGCCTTCAAGCATCCTCCGGGGATCTGCAGAGAATCCGTCAGGAGTCTCAAGGGCCCTAGAGGACACTTCAGGACCCCCCAGGAGTAGTCAGTGAACTCGCCCGAAAATCTTCGGAGCTCTTTCAGGACCCCGCAGGGGTCCTCAAGACTTCCCCGGGGTCCTCAAGACTTCCCCGGGCCGCAAGGAGAACAGAACAAACGGTGTGTTTTCGATTCCGCGCGTGTTGCTCTGAGTGCCGTTGTAAAACGCCATTGCTTGCGAGTAGCGAGCCAGGCGCTGATAGGGTGATATTGAGAGTGGCACGGCCGAGTTCGCAGTGCAACGGTGCCCTCCACTTCCTCCTCCTCCTCCTCCTCCTCCTATTCCTCTCCCTGTTCCTTTTTGTCTTCCCTTCTCCACCCGCTCCCTCCACAATTGATTTGGAAGTTCGGTCGTCCAGCGAAGGGGCATATCGCTAGTTAGTCCAGGCAGGAAAGGAGGACGGAGGCGGAGGAGGGAACGTGACCTGCGCGGCCGCGTTGCGCTGAGGATTCAAATATTATCCCAGGAGGGTTCCTGCGGATTCCAGCGGGTTCCCGAAGCCTTCCCTGGAGATGATTGCCGGATGTTTGAGTGGTTATTCGGGTTCCTGTGGGATCTTGAGGATACTTTGAGGTTGTCTGATTTTTTCCTGGGGTTTCCGGACGGTTTCCTCATGGATTCTTGAATTGTCTTGACGGATTTCATCGGATGTTTTACAGATCCGTGAGGATCCCGGAGGATGTGTGAGGTTGGCTTCCGCAGATTTCTGAAGTCTTCCCAAGGGTACCCTTGCATCCTTGCCTCCTCAGCCCATCCTTGGCCGATTTCGTTGGCCGTGCCCGCTCGAAAAGCTTCGAAATGGGCGTCCAAGGCCCTTGCATCCTTATCGCGCATCCTTCCTTTACGGGTTGAGTGTATTCTTGAGGATTGCAAAGTGTAGGGTTACGGAGGAGTCCTGCAGTTTCCTCAAGGAAGGTTTTAAAGACTTTCCCTGGACCTTCGGTCGGATCTCCAGGATCCCTGCGGGGATCTTGGAGGATTTCTGCGTACTCTTGAGAAGTCGCTGCTCCCTCCAGGAACGAATGGTGTTTAGGGCGGGATTTATTCCTTGAGGATTACTGAAAATTTCTGCGGGTTCGTGCCCGTTGCTGCAACGTCCTTGAAGATGCAAGTGGCTTGCGTCATTCCGCCGCCCCCTCACACGGAGTGAGTGTTTGAGGCGACCGTGGAAGTTACATATCGGGTCAGGGGACTCTCGGATGCATATGAAGGGCTCTTGAGGCATTTGTCGGGGAGGTTTTTGGGGAGCCTCTTGGGGGTTTCTTGGGGGCGTCTTGGGGGTCTCTGGGGGCCTCCTGGAGGTGCCTCTGGGGGGCTCAAGGGGCCATCTTGGTGGGAAAGGCTCGACATGTCAGTTCGTATTCCCAGTCTTGGGCTTTATTGGAGTCCTCTTGGGGCCCTCCAGGGGTTGTTTTGGGCCGTCTTGGGTGGCCCTGGGGCTGTCTTTGAGCCCTCTTGGGCCCTCTTAGGACCTTCTTGGAGGCATCAAGGTCCGTCTTGGAACGATCTCGGGAGGGTCTGGGCCGCCGTGTTCGCTGTCAAAAAGTACAATGTGAGTGTGCCGAACATGTTCGTTCCTCCGGGGGTATACGGTGATTGTGGCCTATCGGGGCCCTCTCGGCGAATATCAGGAGGCGCTTTTGGGCTGTCTTGGGGGCTCGTGGGCCGTCTGGAAGTTATGCTGATTCCCCGTGGGGCTACGCTGGGCCGTCATGGCGCTCACTTCGGCTGTCTTGGCGCTCTGTCTGGTCCTTATTTTGGGATGCAACTCCTGGGAGGTCAGATTCTGATGTTGTACTGGTCCGAAGTCCGGCTTAATCCTGCGTAATCCCGCTTAATCCCGCTTCATCCGGCTGAATCCCGCTTAATCCCGCTTAATCCAAGGCCCACTCTGGCGTAATAGCTCCCAAATGGGGCTTAATCCTCCTTAATCTTTCCGACGAAAACCTCCCAGTAGTTGCCTCATAACCTACTGGGCTGTCCTGGGGCTTCTTCGGGGCTCTCTGGAGGCCCCAGGGAGCGTTGGCGAGCTCGTGTCCCCCCCCCCCGGACCAACTCCCCGGCCCCGCCCTCTAACGCGATTTCGAGTCTAAGAGGAGGGGTGAAAGGGGAAGGGGAACAGCCAGATGTCTCACACGCCTTTTCACCCCGGCCAGCGGGGGCCGGCGGATTCTTGAAGGATTCCCTATGAGGCTTCATTCAGCGGGCGAACAAAGGGTATAACATAATGATTTCCGTTACCAGGGGCGCCCGTCCCGGGGCGGCTGGGAAGTTTATATTATGATTTGCCACCGTAGGCGTGGAAACTTTCCAGCCGCCCTGGGACAGGCGCCCCTGGTGGCGAAAGAGTTTATTAGATACCCTTCTTCGCCCGTCAATTCATGGGATTCTTGAGAGATGCGTCGGTCTTCTGAGGATTCCATCGGGTCGGCCAAAGTTCCTGCATATTCCTGAAGGTTCCGATTGGTTCCCCAGAAAATATCCCCGAGGGTTCCTGCAGGATTGCTGCCGACTCCTGGAGGATTCTTGAGGGTCCCTTCAAATTTCCCGAAGGATTCTTTTGGGCCCCTTCAAACTCAGGAGGATTTCTGAAGTGTTTGGAGGGGTCAACAATGATTCCTCAAGGACTCTTGAGGCTTTTTGCAGGTTTGATTCCGATTACTGAGGATTCTTGAGGTTTCTTGAAGGTTTGTTTCAGCATGTCCTCAAGAATTCCTGTGTTCCTCTTCAGTTCCCCGATGATTCATGAAGTTTCTGGGGGAGTCCAAAATGATGCCAGCAGATTTTCTGAGGAGTCTTGCAGGACAGTTGAAGAAAATTCAAATATTCCTTACGGATTTGTTCTCTCCCTCCAACCTTTTCGGAAATTCATTAATTGTGTTGTATAGGAAGATCTCGCAGGGGGTTTGGGATTTTGGTGGTACAATATCACAGGGTGATCGATAAGTGGCTCTCACAGTTTTGCACATGGCATTGTTGCCCGTAACGGTTGATCGTGATATTCATTTTGTGGCCCATCGGGTGTCTAATTGAAGGGTGTGTCGTGGGTGTACCAGTTCGATTCCGCGTTTCCGAATGGGTCTTGGCCCGGATGTTGACGCCATCTATTTGGTTTCGGATGAGCGTGCAGTTTGCAACGGTGCACGCAACCATCCCTCTCTCTCTCTCTCCCCATCTTGTGCATTGTGTTGTGGGAACTAGTTTCCGTGACTCTGAGATTGCATGTCCGAAGTCCGATGCGTTGCATGTTGCAGGAGTGTAGTGAGGCGGCGTCAAGCTTGTCAGCTATGCTTGGTTCCGCACCTGGTGCGCACCATCACTGATCGCAAACGGTCGGTTGGACGCGCCTTCAGGCGATTGGCGTCACCGACGACGAGGAGAGTGTTGGATCTCGCTAAGCCATTGTCTTTTCTCTTGCATGGTCCAGGTACGCTGAGTACTGTACTGTACTGATTTGGCAGCAAGGCGTTGGCATGTTCGATGCAGCTTGGGTTGCAAGCTTTCTCCAGACATCGCTGTGTCGGTGGTCTCTCCGTCGTCAAATTCTTCAGGTGCGTTCTATAGCAGTGGCACGGCTACTTGACAGCTATGGTGCCAAGTCGACCGTCCAAATGTGGCACAGCATGAAGCGCACAGCACTGCAAGGAATTCTAGCTCAGCCGCGAGGTACTTGCATCCAGAGGGTGTGCGCACGCCTGCTTTGGAAGAGCACGCTCTGTCGACGCTTGGAATGGGGTGTGTGTTCGAACCGGAAGGCACCCCCATTCCTGAATCTGAAGGCGGGTGGGGGTTCGAGCCCTTGCCCCCCCGCCCACGTACTTCCAGGGGGTGTGTCCTCGCAAGTGGCAAACGACGATGGCGGCCGTCGCTGGAGGCGGCGACGACGACGACGACAGACGCGACGACGATGACTATGATGGCGACGACGACGAGGACGACGAGGACGAATGACAAAACGACCATGATTGACGACGACGACGGCGATAATGCTGATGATGGTATTTTTGTATGGTGATGATGACGATGATGATGGTGATGGTGATGATGATATGGATGATCATGACGATGACGATGACGATGATGAAGATGAAGATGGTGGTGGTGATGATGATGTTTCTGATAATGTTGATGATGATGTTGATGCTGATGATTATATTGATCATGATGATGAAGATGATGCTGATGATGATGACGATAATGTTGATGTTGATGGTGATTAAGATGATGTCGCCGATATGATTATGCTGATGCTGATAATACATGCTGGTGACGAGGATGATGAAGATGATGATGCTGATGCTGATGCTGATGCTGATGCTGATGCTGCTGATGAGGATGAGGATGAGGATGAGGATGAGGATGATCATGAGGATGAGATGATGATGATGATGATGATGATGATGATGATGATGATGATGTGACGCTGATGATACGACGATGATGATGGTGCTGCTGATGGTGATGACGCCAGTTGACGGACGGATGACGGACGGAAGACGACCACGCGGACGCCAGACGACGGGCGACGATGGCGACGGCGACGCCGACTGGTTGTCGTCTTCGTTGTCCGCAGAAGTTGTGTGAGCAACTCATTCACGTTCTCAACACCTGCGAAGGCCCAAGGCGCGTAGCCTGCCAGGGTATTCTGGAGCCTTCGATTCGAATAGGTGCAGTTTGACAGCCCGATGGGTTCCAGTCCTGGTACCCATTCAGTATCTTCAAGAGCTGGGCGTCTCGTGGAGGAGGGCTTTTGTGTGGCCGGAGCTCCTGCTACGTTTTGGGGATCAGGACTACTATCGCTGCTCCGACGGCGAGGTCTTCGGGCCTGGTGGCGAGTTCAAGTGCGAGGCCACTTTGCGGCAATGTTTATGTTTTTTGCCCATGCACGGCTCGCTTGTTGTAATTTCTGTGTGATGCGCCCCCTGCGGGAAAAAGGGAAACACACATGTGTATGCGTGTGGAGATGAGAAACAGCACGGCGTTCCTGTACGAAGCGTGCGTGAGCGAGCGAGGGAGAAGGCGAGCACGTGGGGGTATTGTGCCAGCGAGAGAAGGGGTTCTTGTAGGAATTGCACAAGCACAAGGTGTACGCTCTCGCAAATTACTATGCAGAGAGAGAGAGAGAGGGAGCGAGGGAGAGCGGGAGGCGAAGTACACCACAAAGAGGATTCACATCTTGCGATTGCGAGGGGAGGAGGATAGAAAGAGAGCGGGAGAGTAATAAACAAGTTGAGCAAACAAAAAGAGAGAGAGAGAGAGAGAGCGAGATGAATCCTCACGGAAAGGGAGCGGGCGAGAGAGAGCAGGAGTAAGGGAGGAACATTTTGCCATGAAGTGCGAGATGTGCGTTGTGCCAGCGTTGTGCCATCGCTCTATCATGCCTTCTTCACGCCATAACGAAAAAACATGCCCGTTGAGAGACGAAGCATCGTGTTGACTTTGCAAGTCGTTCGCAGACATGCCGAAGCGACCCCTGGCGCAGGGCAGTATTGGCAACGGCGTCTTCTCCAGCGTTTTCCGGGCGAAGCACACGGCGGAGGCAGTAGAGCGGTCCGGGTATAGATTGTTGACGTGCGCGCAGCGCAGCGCTAGAGCATTACAGGGCAGGTAGCAGCGCAAGTGACTGGTGCAATTCCGAAATCTGTATGTCTCTTGCAAGCGTAGCGCCTGGCTTCGGTTGACCCCAGCCCTCCCCGCATTGCCATTCCTCGCTGCCCCCCTTCCCATCCTTTCCCAGCCGCATCGCCTCCCCATCCCCTCTCCCTGCTAGCCCTCCCGTTCCCATCCGCCTTGCCCTCGACAGCCACGAAATACGAATGCCTTCGCCAGCGTGGATCCCAAACAGTGTGTTCTGGCGTACTGCATGCTGCAGTGCATGTGGCGCCATCTGCGTGGGCCATCCCGAAGGTGGAATCTGTGTGTGTGTGTGTGTGGCACGGGCCTCGCTGCACAATGTGTGTGTGAGCTGCGTGTTGCCACTGCTGTGGTGCAATCTACGTGGTACAGTCGATGTCTCGTGACAGATGCGCCGCCTCCTCCTCCTCCTCCTCCTCCTCCTCCCTCCTCCTCCTCCTCCCTCCTCCCTCCTCCTCCTCCTCCTCCTCCTCCTCCTCCTCCTCGGTGACGAGGCGGCGGGCGGTGCCGCGGCGGCCACGGGGCGGCCACCGGGCGGCCAGAGGGCGGCCCGCAGGCCCAGGCTACGGGCGGCGGCGAGGCGGTGCCGAGGCGGCGACGCGGCGGCCACGCGGCGGCCACGTGGCGACCAGCAGGCAGCCCCGCCGCCGCCGCCGCCGACGACGACGACGACGACGACGCCGCAGGCGGCGTAGAGTCCGTACGTGCAGGCACTGTGTGGGGAAGTTTTTCTCCCCTCCCTGTGATGAGGAGGAGGAGGAGGAGGAGGAGGAGGAGGAGGAGGAGTCCCGAAGATGATCGTGTACTCGCCCGCCCCCCTGTCGCGCACGTGTTTGCTTTACCACGGGGTTCCAGCCGCTGTGCTTCTCGTGTGTGTGTGTTTGTCTCAATGTGAACGCCTTCGGCGTCTCAAGGTGGTGTTCCGCGAGAGCGCTGGCCTTATTTTCGGATCTGCGCTTTGCACCCGTCGTTCAGTGCCGCTCTCGCCCAAGCGTCGGCCACTGTCTGCTGGATCGGGGTCATTCCTCCTCGTTGTCGCCCCCCTTCCTTTCCCCTCTGCCGCCCTCCCCTGGTCCTGCTCTTCCCGCTCCTTCTACTCCAGCCTTCCTTCCTCGTCATCCTCCTTCCCCTCGCGCTCATTCTCCTGGTCATCCGCCACCTCCTCCTCCTTCTCCTCCTCCCTCCTCCAATGTGCGCAACATGGAATGATATTTGCTGGAAGGGTAGGTTGCTGGACAGGGCGCGAGCGCACCCATATTGCTTCCCTCCCCTCGAAAAGAGCAAGCCACTCTGTTCCACTCCTGTCCTCACGTCCTTCCAGAAGTCTTCACTTCTGCTCGCCCAGAAGTGCTGCCTCTCAACTCTCGACGGACTCTCTCTCATCTTTCTCTCGCTCTCTCGTTCTCTCTCTCTCTCTTTCTGGTTTGTTTGTTGAGATGAGGGTTTCATATGATCAGCGCTAATGTGATTTGAAACTGCTCTGTGGTCACAGGGATCAGCGCTCGCCTTGTAGAAGGAGGAGGAGGAGGAGACGGATTAAGACGGAGGATGAGGAGAAAGAGTTAGCAGTCGCAGGCATGCCTTCTGTCTCGCACGTGATCTGGTGTCAGTATTGGAGCAGCGGTGTTGAATGTGTTTACATGCGGGAAGTTGCGCAATGAGATTTGCAACTTCCCCAGTGATTCGTTTGTGGATGCACCAGTGGTTCTGTTAGGTGTGTCTTCATACGGCCATTTGTGCGAGCATTGGGCCTGGTATTACCGTCAGTCCATGCGTTGGAAAGGTTTTGCCTCCCCGTGGCGTTCATGAGATTGGCGTTGGGATCAGGGCACCGACTACGCGATCAAGTTCGTTCGGCACAACCGCGACGATTCTGCACGGATGATTGAAAGTGCGTATGTTGTCTAATTAGTTGCCTTTCGTTACAGTTGTGGGGAGCATGTGGCCTTTGACGCATCAGCTGTTATGATTCGAGGCATTTTGGTCAGATGGTGCCCGCTCATCTGAATAGCAACAGCATGCGAGTGTGCGTGTGTGGTCGACGCGTGACTCGATGTCTTGAGCATAGCGCCCCGAGCGTGTTCTCTTGCCTGTCCCTGCCCCTCGCCCCCCTTTTGTGCCCAGGGCGAACACGATGATGCGGAAGGCGGCCGAGAAAGAGGTGGCTCAGCAGTCCTGGCTCCTCTCCCTTTCGACGGCGCATCGCTTTTGTCCTTCCCCTGCCTCTTCTTTTTTAAGAGGTTTCCGCGATTGCGCCGACCCCCAAAAGAAGGAACACGTCCACGGGTGAGGCTGTTTGGGGGCCGTCGAGGGAACCTTTGGGGGCCTCTGCAGGCGGCCTTGGGTGCTGCACGCGGACGGAGCGCTCGGACTGGCAGTTGAAGATGCCCCTCCAGGGCTCCCGTTGGGGCCCTGTTGGAGTCCCTGGGCTTAGTGGGCCCTGGAAACGACAGGGCAGTTTTTTTACCGGTTCCGTTTTGCCGTTTTTGTTACCGGTTCCGACGCCGTTTTGTTACCGCTTCCGTCGCCGTTTTTTGACCGGTTCCGGCTCCAGTTCTGATCCTGGAGCCGTTTTTTTGCCGTTTCCGGTCGCCGTTTTTTGCCGTTTCCATTTTCAAGGGACATTTTGTTGGAAACATTGCAAAAAATTGCCCTTTCTGGGTCCCACTAAGTCCCTGGGTGCCATCTTGGGCGCTTCTGGGGTCGTCTTGGGACCCCCTTCGGCCATCTTTGGGCCGTCTTTGGCCCCTCTTGGGTGGCTCATCCGCCGCCTTGGGACGACCTTGGAGGCCCCTAGTAGGCCGTCGTGGACGCGGTGAAGATGAAAAAGGCGAAGCGAATAGGACGATTTGTGCTCTTGGGGCCATGTTGGCGGTTCTCAGGGAGCACACTTGTTCCGTCTTGGGGGCCGCATGGGCCGTCTCGGAGCCATCTTGGACCGTCGTGGCGCTATCCTGGGCAGTGTCGGCACTCTCTCGAGTCATCTTGGCGCACTGGCTGGAGGCTCCGGAGGAAGCGTTGGCGAGCTCAAGGCCCGCTCCCCCCCTCAAACAGGATTTTGGACCCCATGGGGAGGGGGAGAGGGGGAGGGGTAGGATGATGACGATGAGGAGGAGGAGGAGGAGGAGGAGCAAACGGAAGAAGGGGCGAGGAGGAGGAGAAGGAGGAAGAGGAGGATGAGCGAGGAGGAGAAGAAGGAGGGGCGAGGAGCGAGGAGCGCGGAGCGAGGAGCGCGGAGCGAGGAGCGCGGAGCGAGGAGCGCGGAGCGCGGAGCGCGGAGCGCGTAGCGAGGAGCGAGGAGCGAGGAGGGACAGCCAGTCATCTCGCACGCCCTCTTCCCCCCCCCTGTGGGCGGGGGCATCGGCGCCCTGCAAAATTGAAGGCCTCTTTCGGCGGCCGCTGTCGCCGAGGGCCCCGCGAAAGGCGGGTTCCCCCCCCCCCGGGGGGCCCCCGCGGGCGGCCCGCCCTAGAGGACACGCCGGGGTTACCACCTGAGGGGGTGGCATTCTGACCTGGGGATCCCCCCCCACACTCCTCCTCCTCCTCCTCCTCCTCCTCCTCCTCCTCCTCCTCCTGCTCCTGCTCCTGCTCCTCCTCCTGCTCCTTCTCCTGCTCCTCCTGCTCCTCCTCCTCCTCCTGCTCCTCCTCCTCCGCCTCGTCCTCCTCCTCCTGCTCCTCCTGCTCTTCCTCCTGCTCCTCCTCCTCGTCCTCCTCCTCCTCCTCCTCCTCCTCCTCCTCCTCCTCCTGCTCCTCCTGCTCTTCCTCCTCCTGCTCCTCATCCGCCTCTTCTTCCTCTGTCCTCTTCCTCCTGCTCCTACTCCCTCTCCATACCCTCCCAGGGCTCACTTCGATTCCTGCGGTTCGATTTCGATTCGATGTCGACGGCTTCTGATTCCGGTTCGGTTTCGGGTTCCGATATTTGGGCTCCGATTTCTCAGTGGAGGCATACCAGCCTTCCGATGTTTGCGGATTCGATTTTTCCCGATTCGGTTGCCGATTCCCGCCGAGCCGATTCATTTCAATCGCCGATCCGATTTATCGATTCGATTCTGGGCTCTCCTGCCCTCCCTGGCAGGCGAGGGATAAAAGGGAAGGGGCTTCCCTTCGACTTAACTACGACACGCCCGTTCATTATTCCTCCATGTCCCTGGGACGGACGACGACGACGACGCCAGCGTCTTCCGCACGCCGAAGGGTCGGCAGATTTCTCGTGCCACGTGGGTTCCCAGGCAGACGCTCCAGGCACCTTTCCGTTCGCCGCTGTCTTCTCCCTCCCGCCCATCCCGCTGCTCTGCTCGAGCACTCACCCGCAGCGTGTTTAGAATAGAGTGTCGAGCGGAAGCCAGCCGTAGCGATGAGAGGCCTGCCAGAGGGCAATGAGAGCGGACACCATCCGGTGCCCTTAATCCTCCGAGTTCCGACTTGCAGGCTGTCGGACTTTTGAGAGCATGTGGGCTCGGTGGTGACGAGGAGGGCCGTTCTCGCACATAGACTTGAGTCGAGCATGTTCCCCTACAGGAAGAATATAGTCAAAAGCAGTATGGTGACGACTTTTCGTGCTTTCGTTATCAGCGAAAAGGTTTCTGTTTGACAACTTGCCATTGTTCTGTCAAAGTCCGCCTTCAGGAGGACATGCCCGACCTAAACATAGATTTAGGGTGCACACGAGTTGTGGACTTGATTCCGTCTGACGTTGTGTCACCCGCTCAGGTTTTGCTTCAGGGATTCCTACGACTTGGCTTGTGAAATAATCCGGTGGGCGGGACGCCCCGATTCTGAGGCGGAGCCCCGCGTTGTTGGGGTTTCTTGTCTTTGGCTCCTTTGGCGACGCTCGGCGTCGCTCTCGTTCCTTGGTCTTTGTTCTCTGCATTGGCGGCGCCTGGCGTCGCCTAGGTTCTGTTGTCTTAATTCTTTGTTACTTTCCTCGGTGTCCTTGGCCCTGGTCATTTGCTGCCCTTCCGGGCCAAGTCAATGCCACGAACCGACAAGCAAGGCAAGGCAATGCTGAGCAACGCCGAGCAATGCCAGGCGCGAAGCAACGCCAAGCGATGCACAGGTAGGCCAAGCAATACCAATTACGGCAAAGAACTTGTAAGCAACGCCTGCCAATGCAAAGCATGTGCCATGGTTTCTCAAGCAACGCAATACCAAGCACAATGCCAAGCAGCGTCAAACAATGCACATCAATGTCAATACACGCAAAGCGATACCAACCAACGCCCGGCAACGCAACGCAGCTGCAAAATAACACCCAGCCTGGCAATGACAAGCAACGCCAAGCAGTGCAACTCATTGCAAGCAACGCCAAGTCATGTCTAGCAACTGGTCCAACCAATGACAAGCAATGCCAAGCAAAACCAAGCAATTAAAGCCAATGCCATGTGTCGCCAAGCATCGCCAAGCACTTGCCAAGCACTTGCCAGGGCATGCCAAGCAAGAATTCCGAGCAGTGCCACTCGTGGAAAGCAACACCCAGCAATGCCAAGACAACGACTTCAAGACATGCTAAGCGATGGCAAACAACGACAGACAATGCCAAGTAATGCGTTGCATGGTGTTGCTTGGGATTGCTCAGAACCGAGGTGGCCTACTTTGGAAGAAAGCAGGGCCCCTCACCGGGGTCGCGCCGAGCTCCGTATTCTATGTTTGGGATAGTTCGGAGTCGATTCGGGTGTGTTCTTTGCTAGCTTCGTACGCAGTGCAGGGTTGAAGCTTCAAGGTGCCACGTGAGAACGCGTGACACTGTTGACCAAGCTCGATGTCCTTCCCGTGCTCTCGCTGCTCCGTCCCTCCCTTGAGGTGGAGACGTACCGAAAGTTGCAGCGAACCGCTGGTGCGTCTTCGAAGAAGGATCAGGAGGCATCTGCTTAGGGCTTCCGATTAGTGTACTTCTGGGAAGGGAGTGGCGAGCAGGAAGCCATGGGTGGTGAGCCTCGGGACAGGTGCACCGGAACTGGCTATGATAATGCATGGTGTTCGGCTAGTTACTTGCAGGATGGCTCACTGCTTGCATTCGAGTTTAGAGTCGTCCGTGCGATCAAGCTCACTGTGACAAGCTCCTCCAGTTCACCGTGCCAGCACAGCAGCCTAGCAAGATGGAGGAAAGGTTCCAGACCCGCTCCAGGTCAGTGCACTGTCTGAGCTGATGCGGATCATATATATATATATATACATATCTATATGCATATATATATATACACATATGCATACGTATATATATATATATATATATATATATATATATATATGTGTATACGTGTATCGCCCAGGCGGGCTCATGACGAGGACCACGGGTACACATGGGCGGGCAGGGGCTCCAGGGGCGCCCTCGTGGTGCCCCAAATGGCCCCGTGGTCGCACAGAAAGGCCCACGAACTGGCACGACAGTCTACCAGACTGGGTCTAGCACACCCCGAGGGCATCGAAGATGATTTCTGAACGGCCTCGGACTCCGAAGGCTTCCAGGCTGCGGCGGGACGGCTCCCGTGCAAGCTTCAGTGGGCGCTCCAGGCCCCAGACGAGCACGCCGACAGGCAACAATCATTGATTTTGCTGGAGTTTTCAATGTTTCCAGTGCCCTCTCTACTTCGACAAGGCTCACACTCCACGACGGCCCACGAGGCCGTGGACCCCGCTTCAGCACGCGCCCAACGGCCCCCAGGAAGGCCCTGGGACGGCGCAGCAGGGCTCCATGGCGCCCCCGGGGGCGCCCAAGACGGCCCACGAGGCCCTCAAGACGGCCACAAGATGGTCTTCAGAAGGGGGGTCATGAGTCGAAATTTCAGGTCTTCTGCTTCGTGACGCTCTCCGAGGGCCCCCCGAAAGCGCCAGGACGGCCCCGGGCAGGCTCCAGAGGGCGTCCGGGGCCCCAGCCGAGAGCCCCGAGGAACGACAATCATTGTTTCCGCCAGGGTTTTCCAATGTTTTCGGTGCCCTCTCTTTCTCGACATCCTGACACTCCACGACGGCCCATAAGGCCTCCGACGCCGCCTCAGGACGGGCCTGGCGGCCCCCAAGAAGGTCCCGGGACGGCCTAGCAGGTTTCCATGACGCCTCCAGGGGCGCCCAAGACGGCCGACGAGGCTCTCAAGACGGCCCCGACTTTGCCTCCAGAGGAAGAGCATGAATCGAAATTTCGAGTTTCCGCCGCCTGAATGTCCCCCAAGGCCCAAAGAAGGCGCCAGGACGGCCCCAGGCCGGCTCCAGATGGCGCACGTGGCCCCGGCCGAGTGCCCCGAGAAGCAACAAAAACAGCGATGTCTCCTGAGTTGTTCATTTTGGGGCTCCCCCGCTCTTCGAGCGTCCGACAATCCACGACTGCCCAAGAGGGCTCCGACACATTTTCAGGACGAGCCCAGAGGCGCCCAGCCTCTGCTGCCCAATTCATGCGCACCCCTCACTTCTTGACGTCTGTCTACAATTTACATCGTAACTTGCAGACCCTGGCAGCCAGCCGCCCTGGCAGTCCGTACTTTGCTTGTGTGCACCCTGGCAGTGCAGCCACCCTGGCAGCCATTGCTATCCTTGCAAGGACGCCGTGTGGGCGCTCTCGGCTCCGGGCCTCGGCATCCACATTCAGCGCAGCTGCAGCTCACGTGAGGCGCCTAGTCCGTTTAGGCTGTTCAGGTTATCGGCTCTAGTTTGCTGTTGTCAATTGGTAGGCCCGCGCCCTGGACTTACGACACGCCGTGTGCGCTTTCGCCCGCGGCCACGACCAACAAAAAATAACCCCACCAGCTCTCTGAGCGGCAGCGAGGCCCGCCTCCTGTTTGTCTCTCTCTTTTCGCCGCTCTCTCGTTGTCCCTCTTTCTCCTTTCCGCTTGCGCAATTTAGGCCGTAGCTCGTTTGTTACGATTTTCGGACGGCGTTCGGCACTTCCGATGCGCTCGCGATCAAAAAAAGTAACCCCACCAGCCCATCCAGAAACGATGCCCCGAGGAATTGCCTCGATCAGGGAAGTGGGCAGCTCACAGAGGAAGGGTCCCCCAGTGAAGGCCTCTGGGAGCGTCTTGGGGGCCTCTTGGCGATCCCGGACGCCTCTTAGAGCGTCTTGGGTGCCTCGGAGCTTCTTGGGGGCCTCTTGGGGGTCTCTTGGGGGACTCTTGGAGGCCTCTTGGGTGCCTGTTGGGGCCTCCTGTGGCCCCCTGGGCGCCTCTTGGGGCCCTCTTGAAGCGGTTTTTGGAGCCTTGGGAGCGCTCTTGGCACCCTCTTGGGCCATCTTGGAGCCATCTTGAGGCCTCGGATGGCCATCGGAAGCGGAAAGGCGAGAAAGCCAAACAAAACATTATGTTTCTAAGGTTTTGGAAGGTTGTTGGCCTCCTCGGGGCCTGCTGGTGTAGCTCTTTGGCCACTTGGAGCCGTCTTGGAGCGGTCTTGGGGCCCCTTGGAGCATCGTGGGAGCCATCTTGATGCATCGTGGGGTATCTTGAGCCATTTTGGAGGTTATCTTGGGCTCCCCCAGGCGCCCGTGGAGTCATCGTAAGCACCGCCCCCCCCAAGAGGCCAACATGTAGCCAAAACCTTGGTACAATCAATGGTTTTGACATTCTCGCCGAGGCTTCTTGGAGCATCTTGGTGCCTCTGGGGGCCTTGGGGGCCTCTTGGTGGTCTCTTGGGAGCTTCTTGGAGGCATCCTGGGGGCCTCTTGGGGGCTCTCTTGGGAGCCTTGGGAGCGCTCGTGGGGCCATTTCGGAGGAGACCGATCAAAGAAGGGGGGTCCCTCAATTAGCGTTGCCCCCCCCAAGAGGCCAAAATGTGGCGAAAACCAAAATAAAACGAATGAGTGTGGCTCCCTCGCCGAGGCCATTGTGGACGCTCCAGCGACCCGCAGAACGCCCCGTCCAGGTCCAGGGGAGGTGGGAGGGGTAAACCCTTCCCCGAAGGGGTAAAAGGGGGCGGAAGAGGAAACACCCTAAACCACCTAAGCCCCAAAGGGCTGGTGGGATGCCGAATATTTCGCTCAAGTAGGCTCCCAGGAGGCCCCGAGAAGGCGCTCAGATGCTGCCACGGGGTTCCCAAAGGACCCAAGAGGCCCCCACGACACCCCAAAAGGTCGCCCCACCGGCCGGTCCCACGAGGCCAAACGGCGCTCCCCTAGAAGCCCCCGCGAGGCCTCCTTCGACATCTCTCCTTACCCAGCTCCTACCGACCTTTTCTCGGTACCTTACGCCTTGCCCATGTCACTTCGCAGCCGCACCACCATGACAACATCTTTCAATGGCTCACTCTGACTGTCCTGCGGGCTTTGCAGCCTCCTGTGAGGTACCTAAGCAACCTTCACGACGACCCCACTTTGGCCCCGCACCATCATGTTCCCGGAGAGCCTCCCGGGAACATGATTGACATTGCCAGTCTGGCAAGGAGGCCGAAGATGAGGAGAACGTTCCGCGCCGTCCCGCCGGTCACCCCAGTTAAGCGCAGCGCCTCGCCGTGGTCTTTCCAGCCCCTGCCGTTCTTCAACCGAACCCTCGCGCCTCCCCCATCTCCCTACCAAACCCCACCACCATCTCAACTTTCGGCCCGTCCTTCGGGCCGTGCAACCCCAATCGGATAACCCTGACACCGACGCCCCCCGCGCGGCCCACCTCATCATGCTTCCAGCGAGCTTTCCGGGAACATGATTGTCGCCACCTGACCGACTAGGAGACCTGCGAGCAGGAGGAGGAGCAGGAGGACGAGGAGGCGGAGGCGGAGGAGGAGGAGGAAAAGGAGGAGGAAGAGGAGGGAGGAGGAGGAGGAGGACGAAGACGACGCGGAAAGGAAACCGGCAAACGGCGACTCACGCAGGCTCCAAGGCTCACTACTTTTCGACCACCAGACAACCCCTGGATAGCACTATTCATCTGAATATTGGTGTGCAGGGTTGTTTGTAGCCGTGTATAATCGCTCTAGCACCGTATGCGGCGAGCGGCGACGCACGCACCCGAGCGATGACGGCGCGTCCGCCGCGCGTCAATGTTCAAACGCGTTCGCTATGTTATACCAACGTTGTTTGCGTCGCATTGCAATGCAGGGCGGGGTCGCGACGGGCGTTTCTTGCATGGGCGCGCGGCCAATGATTTGTCATTGTTTCAGAGCGCTGCAGGAGCACAGTTGCGCAGCGCGTGATGCTTTAATCGGTCTCGTGCTTGTTATTGTTATGTTTGGGTGGCCCTCCCATTGTGTGTACGCGCTCCCGCCCCAAACTGGGGCCAACGTGCGTTGTCCATTTTTGCAGCATGTGCGTCGCTACCCCATGAGCGCCTCGCTTGTCCCCACCAGCCAATCCCGTGACCAGTGCATCGATGCATCGATCATGCGTTGCTTGGACTCGCACTCAGAAGGAGGAAGGAAGGGAAATGGGGAATAGGACTAGGAGGTGGCGCGGCTTCGGCGATCGATCTTATCCGCGCGCCCGAGGGGTTCGCCCGCCTGGCTGTGTTTCGCTGTCTCGCTGGGTCGTACCAGGGCTTCGTAAACTACCTTGGGCGCCTCTTGGGCACCCTTTCCCTCCTGGCGCCTTTGTTCGGGGCCTCTTTGGAATGTATTGGACGTAGTGGACCTGCCATTGGAACCGTTGTTCTTTCCGGGCCGAGTAGGGAATTATCTGAAGTTATCCATGCCGTCGTAGGGCTCTTGGGAGCGCCCTGGGTTGTTCGAAGAGCGACGCGGACCCCTGCGGATGCCTGTCGGGCACCTCTAGGATTGCCTTGGTGGCCGCTGGGGCTTATAGAACCAGGAGGGAAGGCCTTCCCTAGCTCTACCCCTAGACCCTTCCACTAGGCTTACCCTGCGCCTACCCCTAGGCCCTTCCCCTTGGCCTACCCTAGGCATTCCCCTAGACCCTTCCCCTAGGCCTACCCTAGCTACTAGGCCGACCC